GCCTCCTGCTTCTATTCAACCCGCTCATTACGTTCACTTAGGCTTTAAGCTTAGGGTTTTACAATTGGTGCCCTGTGGTAAAGGTGTGGCCAAGGAAAGAAGGAATAGAAGCGCCTGTGGCGCTCGAACTAAGTACATAATGAGATTGGGACATCGGGACCTCAGGAGACAGCGGATGCTTAGTACTCTGCCCGATCACAACAGTAAGAAAAACAGGTACAAATTGACTGTCGATGGATGCCCAGTTTATTTCAGTGATAAATTAGATCTAAAAGGGAAGTTTGCCCAGCAGTAGTTAGGATTTTGCCTTTTATGACCGCGGAATCCCGAGGATGGTGCACGTGACAATACTCTACCCTAGATGCCTCGATAAAAAATAGCTGTGGGTTAGTTACAAAGTCGGATCTTGCCGATCTCGGGTGCAGATCGCTTGACTTGTGGAGCCGTATGTACGTACTTTGTGCTACATACATGGATATCCAAAAAGCTTGACTCTGCCAAGAGGAGGATATCGGGGCAAACGCAAAGGTACCTACATATGTAGGTATACAGCAGACCAACTTTGAAAGGGTTTCCACTGCAAGTACCCGAAGAAGACGCACTCCGGGCGTCACTAGAAACGCAGACGCGAGCCTTATTCTGCCGTTATAGTCGAGGGTTTGGGACTTTCCAACACCAATACTAGTACAGATTAAAAGAATATACCGTGGGGACGTAAGCACATGGTAAGACGTACAACAACTCTGTTGATTTGCGTCTGGATACTATCATTCATAATTGAAATCAGTCTAATACACGGGTATATGCTCCCAGCCATTCAAATCACCGATATCTCTCCAAGCTATTAAATAATAAGCAGAATGTGAGGCGGTCAGATACCGCCTCGTCGCTTCCCACTTTGTACATTATTTATGGCCTAAATAGTCGGACCTGACCAGGTGGCGCGTGGTACCCGTAGACATTTGTTTCTGTCACCTTCTACTTTACTTCCTTTCCTTCATAAGCAACGCGTCCAGCTGTTACACAGGATCCCCCCAGATTTCGTCTCAACAGGTATTCATCTCATATCTATCCTGGCAATCATTATGACTGACTTGAATACAGTTAAGATGCGAATTCATTCTGCCCTAGCAGGACTCTTCCTGCTGTTGGCAGTTGCCATCGCCAGTGTTCCACAAATTGAGATCAAAGCAAGTATTTCTTCACTGTTGGGGCATTCAAGCGACTAACGAGTTCAATCCACAGGGATCTAAGTTCTTCTATGCCAACAATGGCACTCAATTGTGAGTTGATAGACTGTTTTAAACTGCTTCAGTTGCTAATTTCGCGACTAGTTACATCCGTGGCATTGCCTACCAAGGTATGCATGCTAGACAATACACCCTTTCTAACTCTTCCCATGATTCCAAACTGACTATCATCTAGAGGACTACAATGCTGGAGGAGCCGGAGGTACCGGTCAATCGAACAATACTCACTACACTGATCCCCTTGCGGATGTTTCTCGTTGCGAACGCGATATCCCGTACCTCCAAGAGCTGCGGACCAACGTCATCCGCGTCTACGCTGTCGACCCGACCAAGAACCACGATGCTTGTATGCAGAAATTGGCCGATGCAGGAATTTATGTTATCGCCGATCTCTCGTCTCCTCAGCTGTCGATTGTCTCTAACTCGCCCACTTGGACCGTTGAACAGTACGATCGATACGTCGCTGTGGTTGATGCAATGCATCAGTATGACAATGTGATTGGTTTCTTTGCCGGGAACGAGGTTGTGAACAAAGTGAACGAGACCATTGGTTCAGCATTTGTCAAAGCCGCGGTACGCGATATGAAATCCTACGTCAAGCAGAGGGGATACAGAAAGTCCTTGAGCTTTGGTTATGCAACTACTGACCAACCGGATTTCCGCAACGCGCTGTCAGACTACCTCAACTGTGGAGATCAGTCCACCTCAATCGACTTCTTCGGTTACAACATGTACGAGTGGTGTGGAGACAACACGTTCCAGGGCTCCGGTTACAAAAACCTCACAGAGCAGTACAAGGACTACCCTGTCCCAATATTCTTCTCCGAGTATGGATGCAATACTGTCAGGCCTCGCAGGTTTGGCGACATCTCTGCTATCTTTGGCCCGGATATGGAAAATGTCTGGAGTGGTGGCATCGTTTACATGTACTTTGAAAGTACCAACAACTACGGCCTCGTCTCTGTTGACGGAACAACTGTCCGCACTCAACCAGACTTCAGCTATTACTCTAAGGCAATTCAGACTGCGACTCCCAGCGGTGTTAACAGCGATAGTTACACACCCACAAATTCCCCACACGCCTGTCCCACGGTCAATGACATGTGGTTGGCAAAGTCCAGTCCCCTACCACCTTCTCCGAACAAAGACCTGTGTTCATGCATGGTGGACAGTCTCTCGTGCGTAGCCAGCCAGTCTGTGCATGCAGATCAGTACGGCGAATTGTTTGGTACAGTCTGCGGAAGCGACACGACCGCCTGCGATGGAATTTCTGAGAACGCAACCATGGGAAAGTACGGTGCGTACAGCATTTGCACTAGCAAGGATCAACTCTCCTACATCTTCGACCGCTACTACCAAGGCCAGAAGAAGGATCAGTCGGCGTGCGATTTCAAGGGAGCAGCATCAGTTCGGTCTGCCAAGGACCCTTCCGGAAATTGCAAGACACTTCTCAGCCAGGCTGGCACAGCTGGAACGGGACAGGCCACAGGTGGAAAAACGTCCCCATTCAAAGCGGCAGCTTCTACTCTGATGGACCATCCTGAGACAATCTTCTTTGTGTGGATGGGAATCGCCTGGGTCGTTTCGGCCATGATCATTTACCGCGTCCCGCCCTTTCGCTTTTATTGATCGCCCTCTCGATCAGGTTATCTATTGATAGCGGATACTATCCAGAGTCTCACTTGTTTGCGACTCCAACAGAATGAAACACGATTGATATTTTAATCATTCCAAAATAGCTAGGCACATAAGTAGTGTTCGTAACAACGAATTTCTGAGCATAAAGAAAGGTATATAGATATTGCCGCGATATTCAACATAATCCGTATCTGTGCTAAGGCTGTTGATTACATATTCAATCCCCACCCATCTGTATTTACCACGAATTTTTCGTCCCTTCACCTGCGAAGGGTGAATCCAATCTCGTCCTTGCATGGACTGATTTTCATACTGTTGTCTAGGTATCCAGATCAACAAGATCTGCATTTACGATACTCCTGCAGATTTTTATTTTAACCCCTCTCCTCCCTCTACACACTCTTTACTATACGCATCGTGGGGCGATAATTTACCCTGGTAGGCCTCCAGGGCTCACCGTGGAGCCATGCCCAGGTGCCCAGGTGGATCTGCTTAGTAAGCATTTGTCCCGGCCCCACGTGGGGCCTAAGACTGGGGCTTACATTTTTTTTTACAAAAAATTACAGATCTTCCTCACGCCTAAACCCCATCGCATTCCCTTCTTTGAACCCCTTTCTCTCGTTTCAGACGTCAAGTCAAATACCGCAAACATGGGCAACGTAAGAAGGCATCCCGAAGCCATACAGATGACGCCAGGCCATTCTGAGCTTTTTGTTTGGGCCCATCAGCGCGCGGTGAACTAACAATACTCGATAGGGAGCCAAGGCAAACATGAAGCGCGAGCGCAACGCGAAGGACACCAAGACTGCCAAGTCGCAGACCAAGAGCGTGCGTCGACGTCATCTCCAACGTCCATATTGTCCCCAGTCGCTCACCCGCATTCTTATCTAGAACGAGAAAGCCATGAACATCCAGTGCCAGGTCTGCAGACAGACTTTCCTCCAGACCACCAAGGCGCCCGCGTATGTTATTCCATACTCCTATCCCCTGCGAATTCCTTCGTTCTTGTCGATGTATGTGTATATGTGGTTCCTTGCTAACATACATCTGCGCGGCTATAGCCTTCTCGAGCACGCCTCTAATAAGCACAACAAGGGTCTCCCCGAGTGTTTCCCCGGTGTCAGTGCATAGACAATTACGGCGGCAAAACTGAAACCAATCTTCTTTACGATATCACGGGTTAGCATGGCTTAAGGAGTTTTGAAAGCGAAAATATCTAGGAACTGGACTTAGGAGAGTGGATAACCATGTAGGTGTAGGGAGTGACTTTTTTTCTGGGGTGTACATGCTGTGGTGATATGAAGACCGCTTATGAGTAGATGTATAGATGCAGTTTATCAACTCATACATATGATCTTTCTCTCCCTCCACTGTCACTGATTTTGCCCTGATGAACCCCCCCCGATCAATATCTACACTTGCGGGGATTGGATATTGGCCACGGTCGTAGGTAATTTCTATTCGGTATACTACACCGCATTATAATAGAGATTATATTGATAATTTGGAGGTTACTGGAGGTTACTGGAAAGATGAATTGGCAAATATCTAAATGCCAAGTCGGTTGAAAGCAAATAATATTGGAGAGAACCCAAAAGACAGTAGTAGATATTGATAGATTGTTCAACTACGTCTCGAGTACGAGTGTGATGGAAATCCAGATTTCCGCCACCTCACCATTGCCATTCAGGTGGATGCGACTGCCGGAACAGGAAAATACCTTGAAAATGACCGAATCTTCAACTGAGTTGCTTATGGACAACGGAATCTTCACATATGCATATATTGCGCCGGGAAGTATCCTCGTGGACGGGCAGAACAATGCCACCGGTGTTATCAACTGGGAATATGTGGGATGGTATCCTGAGTACTGGGAGTATGCGCAGATTATGCGCCCGGCCTTTTGGGGCGACTGGTCGGTTTGGATGGACAAGAAGGCACCGCAGAGGTGGGATCTTGGAGGAATCACTGCTGCCAGAAAAGTTCTGTTTTGAGTCCAGAGCAGGATACTTCCCAGAAGGACCAGAGGAAAGGCTACGTCAGATGCATGGTTGCAAGGTGAGATGGATTGAATGATTGGAGGGTTGCTGTACAATAAACAATAAACTAAACAATTTCGATATCTACTAATAAATGAAGATTTCCTTTCGCAACTTTTCAGGGCAAATAGATTTGGATATTGACATGCAAGGGAATCTCCAACCCGGTGGAATGTGGCCAAACTTATCTAACGGTAAAACCACCATCAACTCTAATATCCGCACCATTGATCATGCCGCTAGAATCCTATCACAAACAGTCAGAACCGGACACATAGCCCACCAAGTCGAAAAAATATACCTTACAAAGAAACAACACAGAATCAGCAACCTCCTCCGGAAGCGCAAACTTGCCCGTCGGTATATTGGCCAAGAAGGCATCGCGAACATGCGCCTCCCCCCAAGCCTTCTTCCCAAGATCCGTCCACGCCACAGTCGGAGACACAGTATTAGCCGTGATACCCCGACCACCCCACTCAGACGCCATACTGCGCGTCAGACCCAAGAGCCCGGCTTTCGAAGCACAATACGCGCTATGCCGATGCAGCGCGGCATGTGCCGCCTGAGATGAAATGCTAACGATTCTTCCCGGTGGTGAGGGACTCGGCGATGATTCGGCAGCCTTCGAGGCGGCGAAATAGAGTCGAGCAAACGCTTGAGAGCAGAGCATCGGGCCGTAGAGGTTAACGGTCAGATGCTTCAGCGTTTCTTCGGGGGGTGTTATCTCCATATCGCTGAGAGATACGTATCCGGCTGTGTTGATCAGGATACTTGGGAAGGCTCTGTCGGATGGAGAGGATGACATTGGGTCAACTATTTCTTTCTCTAGAGAATTGAAGGTCGCCTGCACGGAGTCTGGTGAGGTGATGTCGCATTCATAGGTGTGGATGTCGTCCAGGTTGCCGTTCGCACCGTAGCCGGATTCGAGAAGCTCATCGCGACGTGCAGCTTCGAAAGGTGCATAGAGGATGGCGAGACGGGCACTTTGTTGTCTTAGCTTTTGGCCAATGCTTGATCCAAGGCCGCCTGTGGAGAAGTTAGGTTTCGTTGTGTCCGGCTTTGTGGCTCGTGTCCCTACCCAGACCGCCAGGCATGATAGCTAATCTGCGTGCGAATGCCATTGTGGACAGATTTTGCTGGAACAGTAGCAGAGTGTCAACATGGGAAGTGTTCAGACGGTAATGAACTTCAAGCTGTTCTCCGATGAGGGGAAGTTGAACGCTTTCGGAAATGATCGTCCCAGTATCCACCCCCACACTTGATGTCACTTGGCAGTGAAGTGAAGGGCTGGTGATGCTATAAATGGTAGAGGATGTAGACCATCTTTTGCTTCTCCTTTTACTTTGATAACTATGAGTAGTAAATCAACAACGGATCCATGGATGCCACTGGACTACAAGCTTATTGTTCCCGGACTAGCAAACTCGGTTCGTCTCCACCCAATCAGCTTCATTCTGTAGTATGAGATGTAGCTTCAATATCTCCCTTTCCCTACACCAAATCCTACTTGCCTCTCTTTCTTCTCTCCTGCATGAATATCAACATCATCCAGCACAGCCTGATTCTCCTTCGCAGCCGCAAGTCGAATCCTCTTCAGTTTTCTCGTATCAACATCCACCCGCCAAGTAAAAGCCCAAGTAACGAGGTTCATAATGATAGCCGTACCAACAAATCCCATCGCAATGCCAAAGGAGGTCGCCTATCGTGGTGCGAACCGAGAATTAAGCAGTTGAGAACCCCCACTCCCTCCAATCTGGCCATAACTATTCGCAAATGCGATGGCAAAGGCAGATCCCGTTGCACCCTCGGTGGTCTGGACTCGCCAGGGCCACATCATGGTATACCTGTGTTGTCTTAGCGTTAGTTATTGGCGTAATATGAAATGTTCTATCTAGACTCACACTTACCACGCAGTCGAGAAACCTCCGACGATAATCGTCGCGGCATATACACCACCATTGTTTGGGAAGGCATACAGCACGCCGTAACACGCCAGAATCACAGTCATGAATCCAAGTGGGATGGCTAGTCGAGGGATACCCCCGGTATCTGCGAAGATACCGAATGCGACTATCAATATTACCGCGAAGACCGCGGATGGAATGTTTAGTAGCTGGGTTTCACCCATAGACCTTTGGCCTTTGTTAGCAAATTTACTGTTTTCAGGTTGGAATAACTCGCGTAAATCCAAGATTGGAAATGACGGTTGGTTGGTAGAATGGGAGTCCCGTTGTGCCGACAGTAAAGAAGGCCCAGCAAAAGAGGAAAAGCAGATTCGCCTGTTCTTTAAGGTCGTAATTAGTTCGCGCAGATTGAAGTTAGCCTCCGCTGCTCGAGGAGAGTTGCTCGGTAGGCGGGCTTGAGTGAAGGCCTTTTCTTTTCGGAGAACCAGGATGCCGTAAGAGGAACTGTGGGATAGTGGGTTAGTTATGCCTAGCATTGAAAGTTAAGAGGACATACAATCGGGTAAAGAAATAAGTAAAGATTCTCAGTAAGACTGTGAAGATTCCTTCCGTCAAAATAAGCTTGAGAAGCATTAGCATTATTAGCATACGAATAATCTTTTTTGGAGAATATAGAAATACCATCTCCATCTGGATAGACCACCAGCAACGACATCATCGAAAGCAAATGCAAGGACACCACTGATCACCGTACTAAAGTTTCCTAGTATAGTCACAAGTATTCTTGGGGCAATCTCATCGGGTCTATACCAGTAGCATAGCTGTAAGAGCATTCCTGGCCAAAGGCCGGCTTCGAATAGTCCGAGGAAGAAGCGGACAGTACATAGAGCTAAAGGGAAAGCCACGCATTCGGGATATCTATGGCTCGGGAAAAGCGCGATCTCTTCACTTCTTCCTGTTTTGTCTTACCTCGATACCCTGCAAGATGTCCCGCTAGAGAAAGGTGGACTTTCTTCGGAGTGAGAAGTTCGGTCAATCGACATTGAACATTGGGGTGCTGCGCGCTGGTTTAGCTGGTAATGTTGTTCCTGCATATGCCGAGGCGACGATTTCCGTTTGTCTCGCGGCTGGAAGCCCAGACGGCACGAGAGAGATTGTAAGGAAGGCGGTCGAAGATGTGACTGGCGGTGATGGAAGTGTCTATCTTGACTTTGGGGACATCGAGAGCGGCGCTCCGCCCCAACATCTTGATTTTGATTTCGACGGGTTTGACATAATTACTGTGAACTACGGAACTGATATTCCTTCCTTGAAGGTCAATACCCAAGAAGGTCCAAGAAGCGGTATCTCTGCGGGGCGGGTAGTAGTCATGTTGCCCATGGCGATGACGAGGCAGTCACCGTGGGAGAGCTTGAAGAGGCAATGCGAGGATACCAAAGGTTGATCTCGACCGCGCTGGGTGCCCACTAGACGTAAGCCTTATTTTGGCCTGAGAAATATATCAATATTACAGCGATGATACGCTACGCTCTCTATTATGATACCTAAGAGTCTACAAGCGGTCTGCTGATATTGGCCTCAGAAGGGAGCGGGTCCAAGCGGGTCCTCAATCGAGCAGGTCCGGTAGACAGGAGGACGGCCATACACTGGACTGCACCCTCGGACCCGCTGCGCCGCAGATTCGTGCAGTGGAGTTGAATCCCTGCTGCAGCTCTGGGGCGACATAGAAGTTAGTGATGAAAGGAACGGCTCATCGCAGATACGAAAGCACGTCCCTGAATGGAAACTGTGAAACCGTGAACCCGCCAAGCCGCCGATGTTTCTTTATTAGGAAACCATCAGGATACCAATCCCAGAAACACTCCACTCGCAAGCAGCCCCCTCCACAGTACTCAAATTACAGCGCAGACGAGCGATTACTGGTATACAGAAGCCGAGGAAGGTCAGGAAAGACCCGACAAGTACATAGACACAGAACAGCTATCAGAGCTATCAGTTGGGTGCAACTATTCGGAGCAGAAGGAGGGATTAAATTTCTGAAAGCGAGGGATGGGAACACCTGTATTTATAGTTGAACGCTGCATAGCTGCCAATAATAGTGCGGCTGGGACAAACTATGAATCAATCAATCAATCAATCAATCAATCAATCAATCAATCACTCCACTCGCTCCCAGGAGGACCTGTGGCTGCCTCTGGGAACTGCACTGGAGTTCCAGGAGCAACAAAGCTCCCAGGGCCGACTTACACGTTCCTAGAGCGGATAGAGCTAGCGCTGTGTAAGCTCATGTACTCCGTGTATCCCTGATATCAATCCCAGGTACACACTCCGGGCAATCCCAGAGGTACTTCAGTCACCTGGAGACCCAATGTTGACCTCTAAAAACGGCTTGAAGTTCCAGGAGCAATAGAGTTCCCCGGACTGAGGAGTGGATCCGTACATGAACCTGCCCTAAAGTTGCTCCATCCATACTTGAACGCATTCTGAACACTTCCGTCGATCCTGGGATGACCAGTGGCTGCCTCTGGGAACTTTACCTAGAGTTCCAGGAGCAATATAGCCAGGAGAGGTGGTTCATGATCCTAGAGACAGACTCCCAGGAAGCTAACCCGCGATCCCCAACAAGCAAAAGCCCATACGGTGGGTGCTCTCTTACTACATAAGACAAAGCCTAGACGTGGCTGGGCCCAAAAGGTTTTCAATGTTCGTTTATTGTGGGGAAGAAGGGGTGTCCAAACTTTTGCTGTGCCACTGTACATTGTCAGGCCGGAATAACATAGATAGTGACTAGAGAATAGTCTACAGCGAGAGCGACTGGCAGCGCGACCAGTAGCAGCGAGGTTTCTGGATCACCTGATATTGGCGATTATAAACGCCATAGGCTCGGGGACTATTCAAAATACTATATGTGCGGTAGTAGTGAGGCACTTCGGCCTGATGGGAGGTAGGTATGGAATTACGGATACCGCCATGTTCCCTAAATAGGCCACAAGGTGTGGTTTTCATTAAACCAGGTAGCAAGGAACTAAAATTTACTAAAAGGGTTTAGAGGGGTGTGCGAGTTTCCCAGGGAGGTGGGCGAATTGTAGGAGCCATAATCAGGAGTCCCCATTAGAAACGTGCTAAGAAGATGCAACTCGAAACCCATATACAATTCATGCCAATTCATGCACATGAGTCGGAGCGTTCGAAGGAAGCTCCGAGCGATCTCCCCTACTAGCAAGCTCCAACGGCTCGGAATTCTCTTTCGTCGCAAGCTCCGAGAGCGCTCCGCGACCTCGTGGAGAAGTATATATCTCTGCATGAGGTTCCTCTTTGGCCGTTTTGTGTCGTTTGAGGAAATAGAAAAAGGTCGCTACTCCTATCGCAATGGCCGCCACCGGGATCCCGATTCCAATGCCGATCTTGGCTCCTTCTGATAAGCCACCACTTCTATTATTGTTAGGCGAGTTTGTTGCTGTCGTGCTGATTGCGGTTGATGTTTGTGTTGACAAGGGTGTTGTTGATGCGCTTGTTGTTTTTGGGAGATCGGACTTCTCCCAGATCAGTGGGATTCCGTCCCCATAAACGGTGATTGGTGTTGCCAGGGTAGATGTGACCACTACACCGGACATTGCAATTGTGATGGTGTCTTTTTCCGATAGAACTTCCCCGCACTGATGGTTCTCTGCGTAAAAGCCCATGCCCCTACATTGTGTCAGCATTGCTCGGTCCCATAGAGGAGGAGAAAACCTACGACGGACAGCAAATAGCACCACTCGTGCTGCCGGTCACATGTAACCCATTCCATGATGGGCCCAATTTGCCTGCAGTAGTCCATCCAGTTGGACAGTAAAGACCTGGGGAGTCTACGAAGCATAATGTAAGTAAACTTATACCGGCATTTTTAAATGTCTTTCTTACACCAGTATGTGCCCCAGTATGTCGGGGAAGCAAGTAGAGTGCCAGGAACGGTGCCTGTGGGTAAGCATGTGACACCCGTGTCGCCAAACCAGTGCCCGTAGAATGTGGTGGTCTCAGCCGTGTCCCCCACATAAAAGGAAACCACGGACAAGGTCTGGAGGCACGTTGTTGGCGGGGTGAAGGTGGTTGTTAGCGGTCCCCGGTTGAAGTAGCTTGTGATATTAGGGCTGGCGGAGGAGGACATCGCGAAGATGACTGTGCCTCTACAGAGGAGGAGCTATTGACAATGATGATGTTTGTGGAGAAAAAAAAGGAGGATGTTTTCACCCCTGTTTTGGCTGCTCGGCCGTGTCTGGCCAGCTGCGGAGGAAGTCTGGGTATCTTTCTAAAATGAGGAAAGCTCCCCGCACAGACCCTTTATAATATTCGATTTTAAAATTATATTATATAAAGGTCTTAGCCTATCTTACTTATTATCGTATAAGGACTTTCGTTATTATAGAGAACGTAAGGTTCTTATAATCGGTCTTAGACCTTGACAAGTACTGCAGTACCAAGCAGATTTTGGTACCGTTTATCGGTACTACAGCTGCATAACTTACCAAGAAATTACTTATTTTAGATATATATAAAATGCTTACTTATCTTATACTGCTATTTATATATGTTGCGTGCCGTCCGCCTTTCATACGTTATACGCCGCCGTTCCGTTTACGCTGCCTTTCATCTATGGCTTATCCGGGGGAGGGGGATAAACGAAAGTCGTTCATTCATACTATCTTTCATTCATGCTGTCTTTTATTTATAGCTTATCCGGGGGCGGCCCCCCGGATAAACGAAAACCATCGACCATTGATACATTTCTATATATTTACGCCCCGATCGATGATATTGTTCTTAAGGCTTAAGGCTTATTACCCTTTTCCTAAAGCTCGCCTTATTAACTCTTATCTCCTCGCTCGGCAGTCCGGTGGTCTGTGTGGACCCTATGGGCGGGGTTTCGGTACGGCACGCCCCACCTTATCTCTGTGAAGCAACCTGCTACCACCAATAGCATTTTGTCTCTTGCCGCCCTGCTGCTGCGCGTCTTGTCTAGCACGTGGCTGAGCCTTGGGGTTGTGAGGTCTTTTTATTTTGTCTACAATGCCATCACACATCTCTCAACCCCGACGTAGTTCAAAACCATCGATTTCTCCTACTCCCTTCTCGCGTCTCTCCAAGATTCTATGGTGAGCGAACCAAATCCTTGACATGGCCTGTCCCCCACGAGAAACATTCCAAATCCGTTGGATATGTGCTCTACCAATCGAGGCTGCCGCAGCTATGGAAATGTTAGATGAAAATTTCGGCCCTCTTGATTCGCAAGACATGTCCGACTCGAATACCTACACATTGGGCCGATCGGGCAACACTCTGTTGTGATCGCTTGCCTCCCTGCAGGACAGTATGGCAACACCTCGGCCACCACGGTCGCAAACAATATGATCCGCATATTCTCGAAATCACTCCGCGTCGGGTTGATGGTTGGTGTTGGAGGCGGGATTCCGTCGACTGCTCATGATATACGACTCGGCGATGTTGTGATCAGCTGCCCGGAAGGCACTGGCGGGGGGGGGGGGGGGGGGGC